ACTTACTTACTTACAGACAAAGTCTGGCACTGTCCCCTAGGCCAGAGTGCAGTGGCGCAATCATAGCTCACTATAACTTTGAACTCTTAGGCTCAAGTGATCCCCCCACCTCAGCTTCCTGAGTAGCTAGGACTACTGGTGTGTGTCACCATGCCTGGCTTAAAAATTTGTTCTTGAGGAGAAAAAAAAATTAATTAATTAATCTCACCTGTTGCCTTCCGTGCAAGTTCCATACTCCACTGGGGTTTTGTGGTGGGTATGCTGTCACAGCCTGATGAATGCTGGGGTATTAAAGCAGATCGGGAGCTAGCTGGCCGAAATTTAGAGAGTCCTAAAATACCAAACAAGAGAAAAAAGAGGGATTCATTTTTTTGTTTTCCAAAAGAAGAAAAAAAACCTGACAAGTTTTTATAAGTTAGCCTTAAAAAAAGATGCAATTCAAGCACAGAAAAAGTCTTATAATGAAAAGAATATTATTTTAAAACTACTAAAAATCCCATTTAATATTTTGTCATGTCTTGATGTTGAATCAACTGTTCTGTCTGAACTGCCCATGAGTGTCTTAGAGATAATAATGTAAATTGTATATGGGATAATTACCAAAGTATTGTTTTATGTCAGTTATTAGATTGGATCATTACAATGGTAATAGAAGGTCTAATAAATGTAAAAAGAAAAAATACTTTGTCATGGTTCCTGTAAGCTTAAGTGTGAGAACAATATGCATTTGAGAGAGACCATAAGCTTGAATGAATTGCTGAACATATAAATTAAATCCTATATTGTGGGGCAGGAACTTTTTCATATTTTTATTATTTATGTGCAATTTTGAATTTAGTAAAGTTTTCCCTGCTTCCCTCCAAATTTGCTAATAATTTCCATTATAAAATTTACTAAACAAATAGATCAAACTGATTTAGATATTACAGAAGACATTTAAAACAGGAAATTGTTTATGTATAATGTGAACAGAACTGTAGTAGAAATCTGGAGATCCAGATTTTGATTACAAACTTATTTACAAATTAGAAATACATTCCGGGCAAGATAGTCTATCTCTTTGTGTCTTAATTCCTTCACTTGTCACATGGAAAAGTCCTAAGATTTGGGTCTATCCCTCAGTTGGCCATCACTTGGGTATGTCATCTAGGGCAAGTCACTTAACATCTCTCTGCTTATTTACTTAAATGGACAGAATAAATAATTGTTACGATCTCTTAAATTATAAAAGCCAAAGAATTCATGACCTATCAGTTTTCAAATATATGCAGACTCATATTCTACCTGCAGCCAGTTCTCAAATTCTATTAACTTCATCTTAGACTAT